ATGTGCACTGTTTAAATCATATACTAAAAAAAAAACTAGACATTTGGACGCAACTCGATTAAGCGGTAGATAGAATTTTATAAACAATTATTATTCTTTTTCTCTCTAGTCGCCCGCGTGGTGCAGTGGTTAGAGCATTGCTCTCAGTAAGGAGTTGATCCTTACATCTTGGGTTCAAATCCACTGTGCGAGTAAAGACCGGTACTTTGGATGAGACCGTATAAGCCGACGTCCCATGTCGCAATATGTGCTGGCACAAAAAAAGATCCCTCATTGCTCAAAGGCCGTAAATGCCAAGAACAGGTCTAAATTTGCAGCCGTTCACGGGCAAGTGGTGTCGTCTCAATATGAGTGAAAAATTCTCGAAAGAAACGTTAAACAACAAACAAATCTCTCTATCCCCCTCTCTCTCTTTGGAATATAAACGAAAAATAAAAAAAGAGAGCTTCTTTAAAACAATGAAACCTTAGTCAAATCAATACCGAAGAATTTTTACGTATATGTCGTTGATTAAATCCGATCAAAGTTGTCAATATATCATAAAAGACATTTAAATTATTTAATGAGAACAACAGATCATCGTCATATCCTCAATTTACCTCAGGTGAGCATCTTGATCCACGGGCCTCTTGATTTATAATTCTAAATCTTCTAAGCCAAAAAGAAAATATATCCCTAATAAAATCTATAAGGGGTCATTATTCCACCGGGGTCATTTTTCTTCACGTGGGGTATGCAGATTTTAAGGGTGATGCCACTTTTTCTACAGGCGAAAAGGTCATTTTTCGACATCGAATAATGACCGGGGGTCATTTTTCGACGTCGAATATTGACCGGGAGTTATTTTTCGACGTCGAAAAATGACCCCCGGTCATAATTCAATGGGGGTCATTATTCATCTTTACACCGGCGTTAGTAAGTATGTTTACCAACAATAAAATAAGATTCTCTAAAACAAGATTGGCAACTTGTATTATTCATGTAAACATAATTATCTTGCATGTTGACATACTTTTCTCGCATGTTAACATAATTTATCTTGCATGTAGGGGGCAGAAATATGCCACCATAGGTTTTACCTATCCTCTTGTATAAAAATTGTTGACAAAGTTTACGAATACTGCTTAGCGGTTACATTTTTTAAATACATCGTGCAAAAAAAAAATGAAATGAATAGCATATACTTTCACACAGGTTAAATATAATAAGCGCATGTCATCAGGATGGCGACCCCCTCCAAATTCATTTAAACATAAGCTTTTACTGTTGCAAATGTTCACTGAAAGGCCACTTGAACCCCCCCCCCTTTCCCCACACTTTTTGTTGCAGTATAGTAATATTTTCTCCAAATAAATGTGTTTTCGAAAAAGTCAGAACGTTTATATTACCCCCCCCCCTTTCGAAATAAAATTTTCGAGTTTGGAAACCCCTCTTTTCCTAATCAAAGATTGTTCGGTTAAGTTGTTATTTTTTCGGACTAACCCCCCCCCCCCATCCTCCCTCCCCTTAATTTTTTTCTCTGTCTGTAATAGCTGAGAAAAAAATGCTACATTCCACTGTTTATTCTGTGACATTAATGAAACCAAAGAGATTTCAGTCCTTCTGGAAAGCAAAACTTGTTAAAGGAATCTTTTATCAATCGGAGTCTGTTTAATACGAATGGATCAAATAATCTTCTTTTTTTTAAATTCTGTCGTCTTAAACAACGTGTTAATAATGTTTCAAAGAATGGTGTTTTGGGTATTAAAAATAAAGTTGTTTTTTTTTTTTTTAATATTTATTTTTTTTTTTTCGCTTTGTTCTTGCACTTCAGTTTCCTTGGTTTATACCCATTGATTTACCGGCATAAATATCTTTTATATAAAGGACACTTGGCTAATGCAAGGGATTTTAAGTAATAGTTTGCTTGACATGTAATCTGATCATTTTGGCAAATTCTTTAGATTTCTAAAAAAAATAATGTTCAAATACAACTTACGAGAGGTAAGCAAACATAATACTCGACGTTAAATATTCTATGCGTTAAATCCTGACAAGCTACCATTTTGTCTCCTTTCTAGGTTTTAACAATGACAAAAGTAATCTTTGTCGTAAGCGAGGATGTACGTGCCACGTGCCAGCATTGTCCCTAAATCTGATATATTTTCTCGATTTTTTTCAGATTCGTTGACTCATTTATTAGCTCTAATCTAAGTAACATAACTAAACATCTACAACAGTAGATAGTAAGGAGATAATTAATAATATTAACTACTGTATAAGTTTATTTAAAAAAGAAGCAGATAAACTTCATGCTTCTGTAATCCCTAAATTCATGTCATTCATACGTGAAACTATTGTACCCAAATTCTCCAAATAGAAGATATAAAGGTATATTGATCCATCAAATGTGTCGTCTAAGTTTGAATGTATCATACACAAAAAGCAACCTTCACTTTAGTACATTAAAATTGCTAATATCCTCTGTTATTAGAAATTGTTATTAGCAAATATTTCCTGGGAGATTAATTTCTGCATTCCTAATTAAAAAAAAAATAAGATGAATTTCAGTTGAAAGTTAAAAGGTCATAGAGTCGTTAAGTAATTCATTCTTAATATAAGATGACAGTCACAAATATTCCCATCATATTCCCATCAAATATTCCCATGCTCATCGGCCCAATGTTGGCCCGATATGCTGGGCCAACGCTGGGCCAAATTGAAGTCACACACACATTTAGCTAATGATTATTTTTTTAATCACCACATCAATTGAACAAATAAAACAACCGTTTTATAACGGTAGGAATCTGCATAAATACTATAAAATATAAGTCTTATTCCATCGTCTCTACTAAATACAGCAAAAAACCAAGTTATTTATTTGACTACCATTTAGAATCTATGGAAATCTGCGTCAAAAAAAAAATCAGCTATTGCATGAATTACAAATAAAGAAGAGGAATGTGTCTGTTGAAATCTGAATTCAAACACGTGGATTAAAAAAAAATAGTATACATTACCTAGCATCAATAATGGATGTTTTGATAAATAAACAGTGAATAATTGTGAATTGCTCAGAGAAAATGTATATGCGCTGGTGATAAAAAAAAAAATCGTAAACTAATTGAATAACGTCCGGATCCATAAAAGAAATTGAATTGGTTTTAGTATCTACTAGATGAAATCCCGCGAAAGCGCGGGTAATTGAATTTATACCACTACCGACAGAAAATATATTGTAGTTTCTACTGACAGCATACAGGCTTATAGCAGGAAGAAATACTTTGTTCAAAATCCCGCATGTGCGTCTCCACCCCCCCCCCCCCCCCATTTTGTAAAAACTTGAAAAAATAACAACTTCATTAATTGATGTTTATTGTGAAACCTGTTATACTACGTTATGGATATTGTACTTCAGATGCTCTTATTTCATTTCCGTCAAGGATAAAAGCAGCGAATATGCACATTTTACTGATAAATTGATTTGGGGGGGGGGGGGGTAAAATTCACAGGTACTTGGGTCTTGGTTTATAAATATATATGTACCTTATTGATATGCTTCCGCCAATATTAAGATCGGTGAATGACAAAAATAATTTGCATATTTCCCTTTTTAATCGGTTATCACAACTTATTTCTTTTTATGGCATTTTAATCAAGTATTGATTGAATAATTCGGTGATGACGTTTTATGAAATAAATAAAAGATTGCTTGTTGTCAGTTTAATTGAAAATTGCCAGAAACTTAGATCCGCCAACCGGAAACGCCACCGTACTCACGTTTTTGCTATTTCATGGCTGTTTATAGAAAATAAAAGTAGACTTTTAATTTAATGTACGATACTTACAATGCGAGTGAAATCTAAATATAGTTTTCGGACATCATATTGTATCTAGTGTATTCTTAGAGGAGTAAGTAAAAACTCCGGTGCTTCCGTTTCGGAGTTTATTTGCAAAATTTATTAATTTATAAGCATAGATTCTTCTATAAAGTTGGCCCCTCCCTTTTTAGTACACTGCCCATGCTCGAAACACGTGGTCCAGGCGGTCACGTGAGATGCTCTGCAGCCTACTGTTCACAGCAACCCAAAGATTTTCCGGGATATTATATTTCTTACCATACAGGTAATTTTTTTCATGACAAGAATAACCAATTTGTCAAAGATTGCCTATCTCGTCAATAGGATGGGTGGATTAGGATTTATTTTCCCAGTATGAGCATGGTGTCTGGCACAAGTCAACTCCTGACTTGGGTGTGTTGTGTATCCAATGTGGATCAGCATTAAATGATTTCTCTTTATCATATCTGATGTGTTAACAATCTAAAGTAAATGAAATTTTTGTACATTCAGAGTTATTTTATTGTTAAGATATTGAACTGTTTCTCTAACTGTGACTCCCATATAAAACAAATTGCTCAACTGAGGACACAATTTTTTTCCGACCCACTTTCACTGGGCACCCAAAACATTATCATTTTTAACTATCTCCCTAGCTTCACTAAAACAAACTATCCAATTACTAATTGAACTTTTGGCAACTCCTCTGTCGCCATAAACCTTATATACAAATCATTTTATATTTTACTGCAAAGGATTTTTCAAGATTTTAAATAAACATTACCAGCTGTTCCTTGCTCGAGTACAACTGAGTCAACTATTTTTTTTATTTGTCACTTCATCTACATATTGACACATTTGACGTCATAAACATGAAGGAAAATATTACGTAGCACATGCTATTTAAAGAACATGTTTATGACTATATGTATGCCAAGTTTCTATCTGATCTGAATTGTGGTAATATGTAGATGCAGAGATAGTTCACAAACTTTTTGATCGCCCCTCGTACATGTATCTTTATAACTTCAGTCAGCTGGAAAAAAAAAACCCAGATGATCCTGTTGTAAATTAATGGTCAGTACTATCATATTTTCATTTGTGTATTAGAACTTCATCATCATCATCAGAAGAATCAGAACAAGAATCATAAAAAGAAGCAGAGGCTCCTGTTGTAAATTAAAGGTCAGATTCATTATCAGAAGATTCTGTAGATTCTGAAGAAGATTCTGAATCATAATCTGTCTTAAGAACACCAATCATGTCAACAATTTGTCCTTGCTTAACAATAAACTGTGGACAAGGAATGCTTGGTAATTTTGGGCCATTTTGGAAATCCCTATTTCTTGATTTATAGTTTATTATGGGTGTGGTATCATTGCCACTAAGAATATCCTTGTTATTCTGAATAAGGAAATTAAGTTCCCTTTCAGTTTTTTCTATCAAATCCTGGCTTTCTTGGCTCTTCCTTACAGTTTCTTTCTTCTGTCTGGTTACCTCATCTTTGAGTCGATTGGCTTCTTTATGTACAGATTTGCACACATTCTCCTCTTGCTCTTCTATGGCAGCCAGAACTTTGTCAAACTCTGCAGTGATTGTAGGTATTAAGTAGATGTTTCTATATTTTGGAACAATAGTATTTTCCAGTTGTGTTGTGTCGGATATTATCTGCTGCTTCTTTTTTTGAAGAATATCATTGATATTTGTAAATTCATGCTTTTTGTGTGAAGTTTTCAGGCACTGAACACATACTGGTATTTTACAGTCTTGGCAGTATGTCTCGCATCGGTTTTTCTTGTGTGTGGGACATGTTGCTAGAATAAAAGTGTGTTCCCTTCTGGAGGTATATTCAACAACTTCATGTTTTCTTGATTTGTCGGCCATGTGTTTTGGTATGCATGAGAGACAAAGGTTCAGATGGCAAAGATTGCAGTGGTGTTCCACGGGGTTTGAACATAGCTGACATCGAATGACGTCCTGTCCCTGGGAAGTCGCCATATCTGTTGTAATTTAAAAAAGAATGAGCTGTCTGTATATGGATCAAAAGTATAATTAACTCACTACATAAACTGAAATTAGACAATTTAAATCGTCTCTTGATTTATATGCTCCACCATGAATATAGCAAGCAGCATATAGTGTTTGTCATGTCCTTTTTCCGTTCTTCCATGCCGTCTGTCTGTCCATCATTCTTTACATTTAGCTCCATTTCAAATAAAGAATTCAAGATATTTTCGTCAAAGTTCATTCACAGATACATATTGTAGAGAGCTAGTCAAATGTGTCAACGTTTTTTTTTTATCTTTTACATATTGATGATAGCTGCTCAGCTATATCAAATTTTTGATACTTCCCTATGACCTTGACCTAACTTTAATATAATTTGATATAATTTGTGCTTACATCAGGTTCAATCTTCATACACTGATACATATTGATGAGAGCTATTCAACTATATAAACATTTGTTTTTAATTTTGATTTTCTCTATGACATTGACCTCACTTTGTTCAATTTGCATGTAAGAAATTTTCAAAGAAATATTCAAGATATTTTTTATCAAACTTCATAAAGTGACACGTACATTTTGAGGAAAACTATTCAACTGTGTCATTATTTGTTTTTCACTTTATCCTTCCTTATGACCTTGACCTCACGTTGATTCAGTTTCAAAGAAACTGTTTAAGATATAATTAAGAATTACTGTGGATAGGAAAAATTAATGTGAATGTCGGTGAAAATACATGTATGGTTTGACTCTCAAAGAACTCTGGATGTCATAATTAAGATTTTTTTTAAAAATTGATTTTAAAGTATATTTCATAGTATTACAAAAAATTCTGATCTGTTTAATTGGCCAGATTCTTGGTAGGAAAAATTACAACTCATTGGTTACAATTTTTTTTCTGATTGCTATCCTAATTTTCATCAAACTTGATATGCTGATACAAATTGGTGAGAGCAATTCAACAGTGTTAAGATTTTCTTAGAGCATTTCATCCATACCTACTGCCACTGAAAGGTTCTACTTTTTCACTTGAACGGAGATTGAACACTGAATGAACGCAGAGCGAATGCCAAACGGCGAATGAACGATATATGAATGCTGAATGTAACTTGATAATTAGTTAGTGAAAGGAGAGCAAACACACGATGCAATCTGAGCGTATGCATTGTAAAGCAGTTATTAACTTCTTTTTCTAAGACGAAAATCTCAACATTGTTGAAAAGCTCGGAAAAAATCTTTGATGTATCCTAAAAATTGTTTCCATTGCTATTCCAATCTATGCTAAAAAGATCTAACAATTTTTATGTTTTTCTGAGCGGTCAAAAAAAAAAAAAATGTTGGAAGCTGAGTGAAATATTGGACCGGTAGATGAGATGTTTGACCGCTGTGACGATTTTTACGTTTTTAGGCAGGGCCAGCTATATCAGATCTGCAATTGCTAGGGTTCGATAGAGTTAAATCAGCAGTGCGAGTAAACACAATTTACAGTCAAATATTGTCAATATTGAAGCCAGTGCAAGATACGTTCTAATAAAAAGTAAAAGGTATAACAAAATACTTGTTGACTGTTATTTCTTGTGCATGATGTGTTTGCGAATCCTCGAACGAATTCGAAATTGCTTGCCTTCTGCTTTTAATATATACGCAATAGTTTATAAAATAATATTGTTACAGAAGTTGTTTATATATATATATATATAATCATGATTTTGTTTCTAAAACTCGGTACAAGTCCATTATTAAATTTTAAAATCTGTACACCTCTGTTCACTCATTTTTTTTTTTTTTTTTTTTTTTTGACAGATCAATCCTTTCACTTCGGATTTCTGAATGACAATGAAGAAACAAAGAATGAATGATGATAGCACGCTGAACTCAAGTTTAACGCAAGTGAAGGAATGGTAAGCGAATGTTAAATGCTTTGTAAACTGTGAGCATGAGCGGTTTGTGAGTGCTGAATGCAACACTGTGAACGGAGAGCGCACGCTGAACGGTGAATGCACGCTGTACGAATGGTTAGCCTTATGGAAAAATGGGAAAGTTTTAGGGACTGTACTTATGGCCAACATTATTTATAAATTTTCTGTATTACGGAGTATTATAAGAATACATTGGAAAAAAATTTAGAAATCTTCTTAAGAACATCAGGACCACGATTAATTAAATCTATTTTCAAACAACTTCAAGTAGTGCAGTTTAAAGATTGGTCAAATTGTGGCCCAATAGGGTATGTGGGGATAAAATAAAGGATCAGTTTTTTACTTGGAATATATAGGGAATAATTTTATTTGAAATCTTCTACTCAAGAATAGCAGGACTATCCTAGTCATATTAATATACAAGTATTTCTTAATTGTTCTGATTTATGTTTGTTCAAATTAAAAAAAAATGTTATTAAAATTTTTGTTAAAGAAAAACTTTTTTTCAAAAAAACCCTGAAGACAGCAGGACCAAGGTAACCCAGGTGAGCATCTGTGGCCCAGTGGCTTCTTATAACAAAAGTTCAAGATTTTGGTCTCAAACATTTATTAATTGCAGAAATATAGTAGCAGTATTATTATAATGATTACAGGTACTTTTAGTTATACTTACTATTTATTGTCAATTCTCAAAACAACAAATTTTACGTTTCCATTTCATGCTGTAATAAACATCCTGGATAAATATTGATTTTGGTAGCTATGGTATTCTAGTCAGGTGATTAAAATCTACAAAGCCAAACTCAGACTCGATCATTCTTTTATATTGATTTACAGGTGACAAGTTTGAATACATTTCTGAATCATATGGTTAATAACAGAATTGATTTTTTGTTGTTGTAGTGAGTCAGACCTAAAAATTGACACTGGAATATCCGGCCTATTGATGAAAGGATTGTTATATATAACCCGAGAAGCATTTTTATTTCAACTTCCTTATTATTCCCTCATTACAACAGGTTTGAGAGGGGGTATAGCATGTCTAATGTGTATGTGTGTGTGAATTTGCTCTTTAATTTCATCTTTAACATCATTCCAGCCTGAAAGATTCTTAGAAACAGGGCTGAATGCTCCTAGAATCAGGTATTTGTCTAGAAAAGAAATTTTAAAAAAGTTTGGGTTTTTTTCTGTATTAAGGTATTCCTATACTCACAATTTAACGGATCAAAGTGGAAAAACTGCATTTATCTTCACTGAATATAGTTTAAATTAACTAATAATTGCAAAAATGTAAAGGTTGCCATATTTTTTGAAGATGGTAGATATAAATAAACAGAAGTATATGTCAGCATACAAAATCGTAGTAAACAATATTATAAATAAACAGAAGTATATGTCAGCATACAAAATCGTAGTAAACAATATTATAAAAATTAGGTAAAAACTGATTCAAATGCATAATTCTGATGCTGAAAGTTCCAAAATAATTGCTACTTTATACATATTTTTCAATTGTGAATATTAGGGAAACCATTTTACATTGGAAGTACAATAAAGAAAATGCCCGAATGGAGAGAATGGAGAAGTTATTGCCCTTAGCAACATTCTTTAAAGATGGAATAATTGGTTAAATAAAAAAATATACATTTTTGAAACTTTTTTACCTCACAATATTTTTCAATACACATATTAAAAAAACATTCTTCCAAAAGATATTTTTCTATTTGGTTTGAATTAAAATTAATAACTGTGTTCACAAAAACATCACAGGAGGATCTGAAAACCTTAAACCTTTGGTTTTTAGCTCTTCTGAACAAACGACTTAAAGAGCTAATGATATGGTCATTCGTGTGGTGTGCTGTGTGTGTCAACGTTTTTGGAATATGGGCCATATCTCAAGAACCCCTTGGCCATTTTTGTCAAATTTGTAACAGAGCATCCTTGGCCCAAGGGCTCTCTTTTATACTAAAGGGGAGATAATTAAGGAAATAAAATTAGTAGTTGCTAAAAGATATTCCTCTCAAGAACCACTGGGCAGATTATCACCAAACTTACACACAGAGATGAGGATACATGTCTGTTATCAATTGAAAAATGTTCAACACATCACCCTGGGGCAAAGGGCGTGGTCTCAGGGTCAATTCATAGTTGATCAAAAGTTACTTTTTGTTTAAACTTTGATATTTTGCCACTATAAGGACTAGAATCATCAAATCTTGTCAGTTGATGCATCGTAGGACCTCATATCATATCGGCTCAAATGTAGGTCATGATGACCTACTTTTGAATTTTGCAACTATTCATTTTCAATTTGACATTGATGCATAACTTGGAAATTTTAAAGCCTATGATCATCAAAATTTGTCAATTTATGTATCATGGGGCCTTGAAGTGTCAACCAAAAGTAGGTTACTGTGGCCTACTTTCTGAAGCTTAAGTCTTGTCATTTTCTAAACATTCATTTCGGATACTAAGAGGTTTAGAATTAACAAACCTTGAAAATTGATGCATTTTTGGGCCTTAAAAGATATTTTTCAAAAAGGTCACAGGGACCTACTTTTTAATGTTGCTGGTATTCATTTTCAATTGTTTTAGGGGCATGTTTCTGACACTTTAAAGCCTAGGATCATCAACCTTTTTCAGCTGATGCATCTTGAGTTTTCTGAATTTGTCAACCAAAAAGTAGGTCTCCATGACCTACTTGAGGAAATCATGACTAAATTCAAATATTTCAGATATTAATTGCCCTTAGAATTATCAAACTTTGTCAATTGATGCATCTTGTGTCCTCGGAGTGTGTCAACCAAAAAGTAGTTCACGGTGACGTACTTTTAGAATTCCATTGCTTTATTTTAATATTTCAGAAACTAATTTGCTTAGAATCATTAGACTTTGTCAGGTGTTGGATCTTGGGTCTTCAGAATGTTTCAACTAAAAAGTAGGTAACCGTGACCCACTTTTGGAATAATAAGGCAATACTTAAACATTTCAAATAATAAAAGGGTTAGTATCATCAAACTTTGACAGGTGGATTTTGGGTCTTCAGAATGTCTCAACTAAAAAAATAGGTCA